ACGTACGCCTGAGTTTTGCGTGCAGACGCCAAAAAGAAAAATGCACATTTTCTGGTGAGAAACGATTTTGAGAATCAGACAAAATAGCTAAAATTTCACAAGAATATCACCGGTGCATATGTGAGCGAAAAATTTCAAGTTGAGCTATTACGTTACGCATACAGACACATCCAAGTTCGTCGCTGGCGTTGTTCCGTCTCCAGAAATAGCCGAAAAAGAACAGCAGAATTTTTTTTTTTGTGCGAAAATATTTGCCGTTCGTGCGTGGATCCCCCTCCTAAACTAAGTTTTGAACTGCACCTGTGCCATGCGTAGTAGTGCGCCAAAGATATCTGCAGAGAAATGGCGACTTCGAAAACCAGAGAAGCTTGGAAGCTAAAATTTTACAAAAAAATTTTATGTCTATGTCGAAGATTTTAAATTCAGCTTTGCCGCACATTTGGGTTTCACCTTAAGCACAAGTGAAACTTCAATTTTGAACAGTTTTAGCACCCGTTTACTTTGCGACTAGATCATGCAAGTTTCGTGAAAATATTTAATGTCCGTGTGCAGGTTTTTAAATATAAAATTAACTTTTGCTTTTGCATGGGCCCCGCCCACGGACGCTAAATATTCAAACTTCGTATACTTGCTGTAGGCTAGAATCTCACGCGGCCCCATAACGCAATCTACTGTTCCAACCTACACCCTCTTCCCCTTGCATGCAAGGGGAAACCAAAACACTGCCAACACGGTTGCACAAGTCAAACTGTAGAGCAACAATCATTCGTGTCGTTAAACAATCTGATTGCTTCAATTTTAGCGCAAAAATGCATGATCTACACCTAAAACCGTAGTGCGTTCTGCTACCTGAGTTTAGAATTACCTATGCAACAGGGTTCTTAAAATTCTTCGTTGCCACGCCTGCAACAGCAGTAACAATTCGTACAGAAACCAACTCTTGGTACATCGTCTTCCAAAGATGACCGTTGTATAGGACAGTAAAGGGTCACTAACAGATAAGCAGAAGCATTACAAAGCGACGGAATGGTCGCAGTTCATCACTGCTAATGAGCGGAAAAAAAATGAAAACGTGGTCATCAACATAGAGACCACCCGTGAAACAGCTTTGGTTGCAGCATTTATGGAAAAATTGCTATTGTGTTTGTAATGCGAAAATCGGTTTTGATGAAAAGACAGCAAGTCGAATAGCCATGGAAAGCACAGACATTCACAACCTTTTCGAATCTTGGATAATAGGGCTTTGAC